TATTGTGGCACAGTTTTTAATAGGTAAATCTTGGAAATAACCAAAATGCCCATCAACCAATGAATGGATAAAAAAGATGTGTTTTTTAATATATAATGGAGTGCTACTAATCCATTAAGGGTAAACTTGAGACATTTATTGCTAAATGGATGGACCTTGAGACCATACTCTTAAGTGAACTAAATCAGATTCTTTTTTTTAAATTAGCAAACATATATTAAAATATATTTAAGGAAAATTCAACAATGGTATAGGTACCCTGTCAATACAATGGTTTCATAAGCACCAAAAAGTAGTTAAACATTTGTATACATAATTTTAAAAAATGATCATAACTGTAAGTCTACAGTATTTGCTGCTGTTCAACCCTCCCCCAAATACAATTAGGACTTAATTAGCTATTCAAAATTTTGTAGCTATTTAAAAATTTATGAAACTTAATAGAAAACTTTTGCTATGGATTTAGCATTACCCATTTTGCATCAAATTTGCCTTTAGGAATCAAAACACAATGGCTCTCAATGACCAAAGAAGACTAGAAACTCCAAAGAAGTTCTGAAAACGATTATGGTTTAAAACAAATCCTACAAATTTTTTTAAAAGTCCTACAATTTTTCCTCCTATTGTTTCTTCCTTTGACTTTCTTATATCAGGACAAGCAAATATGCCAGACCCAAACTATTTGTTAAACATAAGGGCCACAATTATTACAGAATTATTTCTTCTAAACTTCAAATTTATCCATTGTTAGCAGTCATCTAATTAGAGAAAATAATGAATATTAATTTTAATTCATCACAATATGTTTGGTCTAATAATTGACATATAGTGTCTTAGAAGGGTAAGGTTTAAATTATCAACAGAATTCCAATTGTCTACAAGTTTCATGACAATCGTTTGACTATAACCAGCTAACCTTAAATGTTTTAAGTTTTCTTTCCTTCCATTCAGCATTAAACTCACAATGCTTCTCGAGACTGGTGACACATTCCATGAAAAAATGTTCTTAAAAGCACTCTGCTATAATACCATACGGTATACCTTCCAGCTATCTTATTTCCGACTTTCTTTAAAACCATACTTTCAAATGTTACTTAACATGAAAAAGATAGAAAATAACTTGTAAAGATCTGAAACTTTAAAACTGCTAGAAGAAAACTTAGGGGAAACACTTCCAGGTGTGTGCTCAGGCTGTAATTTCTTCAATAGGACTCAAAGCCCAGGAAAGAAGAGCAAGCACTGACAAAGTTTTATTGCATCAAATGTGAAAAGTTTCTACATAGCAAAGAGAACAATTAACAGAGTGCAGCGTCAGCCAACAGAGTACAAGACCTGTGCCAACTTCTCTTCTGAGAGAGAACTAATATTCAGAATATATGTGGAGCTCGAAATAAGCACCAAACCCCCCACAAAAATAAATAGGTAAATAAACTGGAGAGACAATTCTGAAAAGAAATACAAATTGCCAAAAAGTATATGAAAAATTCAATACCTTTAGTCATGAGAGGAGTATAAATCCAAACTTCATTGAGGGGCTGGGGATTTAGCTCAGCGGCAAAAGCGCCTGCCTGGCAAGCGCAAGGTCGTGAGTTCAGTTCCCGGTACCAGAGAAAAAAAACAAACAAACAAACAAACAAACTTCATTGAGATCGCATATCGCCCTAGTCAGAATGTAAACTATCATGAATAAACAACAAACACTGATTAGGATGCCTGAAAACAAGGAAGCCTTATAACCGTTGTTGGGGATGTGAATTAGTGGAGCTGCTGTGAAATTCAGTGTAGAGCTACCATTTACTCCCATATACCTCTCCTTGGGATACCTGAAAGCACTAGTCAGAATACTAATCAGATGCTGCACTCCACTACTTTGGAAACTTGAAGGTAGGGAATGATGTCCCTGGGTGAGCACATTTCAAAGGAGGGCTCCAGTGCCTTGAGAAAACATTACTAAGGTGTAAAACTGCAAATACATAATTTAGCATTGAAAAGGTTTCTATACATCTCAAAGGGGCAAGGACAAAATGCAAAATGTCCAATTTCTACAAAAAGCAAAGAAAAACTAAATGCAATTTTTTTTGCCCCAAAGGAATATTTTATACTGATAGTTCTATTTATCTTTATATATATTTTGATAACGTATTCATGTAACTCTGCTTTGCTTTCCTTATTCAAGACTGGAGAGAAAAATGAACTTGCTTCAGAGGACTCTTCTTTCATTTATGGGGCAGCGATTTTAGTATGTATGAGGTACCAGGTGCACCTGTGTGTAGTGCAGATATAGGTTACACAGCGCAAGATTGGCCAATTGAAAGCAGCAGTCCACCTGGTTGTGGATTCATTTCACATGGAATATTCATGGGTATGGAAAATTCCAGATTCTTATGGTGAAGACCATAATCTGCCAATTTTCATAGACTGATAGAGCAAGATGACTTTCATCCTCCCCATGTGCATGGCTGGGACGTGTTCAGAAAGCAGAATAATCATCACTGATCCATGCCTTAAGATGCAAAGAAAAATGATTTATTTGTGTTTGAGCAGCTGCTTCCTATTCCGAGCCACAGCTTTGAACTTCAGGAATTGAAAGGAGGACCTGAAAAGCAGGGATCCCCAGATAACAGCAACTTGTCCGCTGTTCACTTTCTCACTGCAGTTTCCTTTTAAAATAATTAAGCCCCAAATGAATCTCAGAGAACTTCTGAGCCAAACAAAGGCAGTAATTGTGGGCAGAGAGGAAAAGAACACCAGGGACTGGGGTTCTCAGCGGTTTTCCTTCTCCCTGACGGGGTGACAATATTGAACAGTAAACTCCAGGTGGTAATTCATGGTAGCCAAGAGATCAACAAACCCTGAACATATGAATATGACCTGGGGAGCCTCACTTTGCCCGCAAGACTAATCAAGGAGTTGATTGCACCACACTTTCTGAGGTGAGTAGACCTCACAAGGCTCATTTACACACATCAAGTTATCTTCAAATTTTCCCTCAGAAATGTAAAACTTACCTGTCTTTGACTAGCAAGAAGGTGGTCAGAAGGTCTGTGAGCCGTGGGATCCTCATTCTTCCTCTGATCTTTAAAATGCAAGTACCTCAGGTAAGAAGAAAACATTAGTTTCAGGAATCATTACTCCAGACTTACGAAGCCATCTCTGCACCTGTGTTTAGGATCTGCTAGCGTCAGAGAGCTTCCAGCTGGGCCTTTGCAGAACGTTCCCTCCCTGCTTGCCTGGAGTAATCAGAAAGATATAGAAGCCTTCAAGTTTTATGAAATATTCTGTTTTCTTCTTCCTCAAGTTTTCCTTGCACTGGGACGCTGTCAGCATCATAGCTTTTAATAAAATGTGTTTCATTTTGCTGTATTCCTGTACTTCAGCACTGCTAACTTTGTAATTTTCATTCTGCTGTGTACTCCGTAAGTGCGTTGCTCTCTCATTTAATCTCTGCATACGCCCGCAAGCCTCCTTATGCTAACACATAGTATATGTGCAAGTCGACCTAGTTTATTACATATCTGTTTAATAGGAAAGCTATTAACCACTATTAAGAATAAAAATTATAGCTGTTCTTTGGAGAATTCTCACTGTGGAATTCCCGGGCTGTCAGTTATTATAACATGAAATAACTCACTTTAATTTTCATTTTTTAAATTTCATTTTTTTATTTCTTTTTTTTTTTTTTTTTGCTGGAGAAAACTGGGCCTGAGATGAATGCTCTAACATTCCTAAAGTATAGTTGTTACAACCAGATACATCTTGTCTTTAAAAACACGGAGCAACTTTGTTAAAGATAACAATATGTAAAATTAACAACCACTGTTAATTCCTATCATTTTGTTCTGCAACCCTGGTTCATTCATATCGTTTTTGTTTTGTTTTGTTTTTATCTATGTAGTTGGTATTTTGCTATTGTTATTTTTTAATTATTCTCTTTAAAATAAAAAACAATAGTTTACCAAACAGTTTCCTAAGTCATGCTGGAGAAGTCACTTCTTTCTTCTCTGACATTTTAACTTCAGTCAGAGACAAAAGGATGTCACTTACTGGACGTCTCAGAACTGCTCTGATTCAGAGCTTTGGAATTTGAGGAAAGGAAAAGAGGACTAGACCAAAGACATAGAAACAGACACAAAAACAAACAAGAAATATTTGAAAATCCCTTTAAGATACCAAGATGTTTTATCGAAGAATTATTTTCTTATTCTGTTTAATGATTTGAGCAATCTTTCATTCTTAAATCTGGTAATCTGAGCAACGTAGTTGAGGTTAGCAATACGTAATGTAACAACCACTGTTGATTCGTATTATTTCGTCTGGAGACCCTGTATCACTTTGAATGCTCTTGCTTTGATTTGTTTATGTTCACAATACTGGTATGCTGCTACTGTTCTATTTTTTGTTCGTTTGTTTCTCATTTACTACTCTCTTTAAGATAAAAAAAAGATACCGAGATATATTAAGTGCAATGATTTTTAAAATTTCTAATCTCTGACTAAACAATCAATTCTCATTCCAGATTTAGTCAATAATGCTGAGCTAAATCTTGTAGCATGTTTTATCATGTGCTACACAGTTAGCCTGGTGCCCTGTTTCTATGCTGCTTTGGTGCAGCTAATAACTTCCTACTTGTCAAGCAAAGTATTCCACTAGCCATGATACCAGCTAAAGCCAAATCCTGGGAATAAATCTATATTTATGTAGTTTTTGTTCTCAGAGGCATTCAGTACAAAGAAATTAAAGATTTCTTTAGCATTCTGTAGGAAGTAGAGTACACAGTTTGACATAAATTCCTCTGTGAAAAGCTTGCATTTGAGAGTATATAGAATAACCCACAGAAGTGCCACAGTAAAAGGCACATGTCCTTTGGACAAAATCTGCATCATTACACAGCATGACTATCTCTTACACTCCAGAAAATTGTGATGACACCAAGAACGTTTTACAGATATGTATATGTCATCATTACTGATGCTTTCTTCAAAAAGTTATGTGCTGAATCCATGTTTTTGCCTATGAAATAAGAAATGTTATCCAACTTTATGAAAGGAACAATCTTTGCCTTTCTGACTGGGCTTGGCACTGTGGGGAACATCTTTGTTTCTGTGAATTACGTGCTCATATTTGCAGGCACTGAGAAGAAATCTATACACCTTCTTCTCATCCATCTGGCTGCCACAAATATCATAACTCTTCTTTCTATGGGAATGCCAAGTACAATAGCAGCTTTTGGTGTGAGAAACTTCCTAGACGACATAGGCTGTAAGATTGTTGCTTACCTGGAGAGGGTGGCCCGGGGCCTCTCCCTCTGCACCAGCAGTCTCCTCACTGTGGTCCAGGCCGTCACCGTCAGTCCCCGACACTCTAAGTGGAGGAAGCTCAAGCCCAGGTCTGCATGGTACATCCTTCCCTTGTGTCTTTTCTTTTGGATTCTCAATTCCTCAGTAGGTATGAACTTACTCCTTTATATCACAAGTACAAGCATGAACACATCAAAAGGGAGTGTGAATGGCAACACTTGTCGTTTTCGACCAGGAAATCAGAAAATAAAATGGACATTTCTCATTATCATGCTGATACGAGATGTCATGTTTCTGGGTGTCATGGGTGGGGCCAGTGGCTACTTGTTGTTTCTTCTCCATAGGCACCACCAGCGTGTTCTCTTCCTACAGACCTCCAAGTCCCTCTACAACGCTCCCCCTGAGATCAAAGCTGCTCAAAGTGTTCTCCTTTTAATGCTTTGTTTTGTTTTCTTTTATTGGACAGATTGTGTTTTTTCTCTACTTATTAATACTTTCATGGAGAGTAATTCCATATTATTAAATATTCGGAACTTTATAACCCTTGGTTATGCAATTGTCAGCCCATTTGTGCTGATTCACAGAGATAGACATCTGACTGAATGCTGGAGAGCTCCATAGGAGACAGCAGTCATTGAGACGGTGTCTATTTCTTGATCCTTTCCTTAGGTAAGTTCAAATAACTATCAGTTTTGTTGTGGACTATGTAATAAAAAAATAGTGGGAGTAGATGATAAAGTCAAGTTATAGTCTCATACAAAGATATTGGTTCTGAGCTGACACAGAAGTTGCAGAAAAATATTCAGCTATCTTCTCATTCCACAGACTGTCTTCCTACAGAAAACAGCTAACATGAAGCTTATGACATGCTCTTTCACTCCAACACTACTGGTAGAAATAAGAAGGTAGAACAGGCATGATCAAAGCGTGATGTCTTCTGTTTGAAACTAGCACAGTGACACATTAATTTGTGCAATCAATGTATGTTCATAATTTTAATTTAAAAATAAATAAATTATACTATTCAGAAATGAAAAAACAATTTGGGAGATTTACATAAAATTTATTTACATATTCACACTTTGGCCCAAAAATTTCTTCAAAGACGTGATCTTGCAGATATACTTGTTCATGTAAGACACACAGTATGGAAAATATAGATTGTTGCATTGTTTTAAAAGGAAACATAAATATCTAGTAAAAAGGGCACTTTTCTTGTTATTTAAAAACATTCCTAGATAACTATATACCACAGGGTGTTTTTTTTAATCAGAGGGTTTTTTATTAAACCTGTAGAAGGAGCAGCAAATGTTAACTGTGTTGCTACTTGATGATATCATCTAGGTTCTCTCTACAATTAACATCAAATGCTTTAAGGACCAGTATTTTCAAATAAAATATGATATTTTATTCAATTTTATTGTGATTACTGTGCTAGCCTCTATAGAAATGTAAAGTAACTACAAGATTAGTTGCCCTTGGGATGTGGGAAAAGGGAAGGGAAAGAAGGAGAAATTTTGTAAGTATGTATATACAGGATAGTTAACATAGTTGATGTACTGTCTTCTATTTCTTTGCTGAAAGAAACTGTCAATGAGTCCTTGATTGATCAATATTGCATGTCTGTATTTGTTTTCATGAGAAACCACTTTGAAGATATCAATATGTAATACAACAAGCATTGTTAATTTCCTACCACTTTATTAACTCTGTATTGTCTGTACTGTTCTTTTGCTATTTTGTAAAAGGTTGTCTGTCTGTTAATGTTTTCCTCCTTTTATTTTGAAAATTAAAAGAAAGGTTAGTTGCCTTTTATAGTGAAAGTATATAACTAAAAGACATAGTAGGTTTCATCTTTCTAGATTTGCTGAGTCGCAAATCATCTAAATACATTTTTAAACACATTAATGAAATATTAACGCCAAATATGTTTTGTTTCAAGGCATCATTTGTTAAGGCTTTTATGGTAACTAATATTATTAGTTGTTCTGGTTTTGAAGTGTTTGCTTTTTCTTTTGCTTAAATTCAGGTAAAAACGCATATTTGCATAAAGCGCATAATTTTGTTAACGAGCTTTTCTACCACCAAGCCACTTTTACAATTTTGTCATACTGTTTTAATGACTTCACATATTCATGGTAGCAAATATTACAATTAAAATAGAAAGACTTCCACTGCATTATTTAGAGTCTCTCTTCTTTGTTTCCCTTCAGGCCCTTTATATGTTTGGAAGCTTTACTTTGCTGGAAAGTGAAGCTGAGGGGCTGGGGATATAGTTCAGTGGCACAAGCACCTGCCTGGCAAGCACAAGGTCCTGAGTTTGATTCCTGGGTACCAAAACAAAAATTGTAGTTTAGACGGTGCATGGTGGCACACACCTATAATCCCAGTGCTAGGGAGCCTCACAAGGATCCCTGGGAGGATCCCTGGGAGTTCGAGGCCAACCTAGGTGACAAGGTGAGCTCAAGTCCAACCTGAACTGCATAGTGAGACCCTGTCTCAAAAAGACAAAAAAAATGAAACCCAATGGAGTGGAAGACAGTAAACAGAACCTATAAACCCTGATTATTAAAATACACAGACATGGCTTAGGGGCTGTAACTATACTTTTACCAATAAATCAGATAAACTCTGCACCAGATTTTCTTAAAGAGTACCTAAACATTCTTCAAATTTGTTGAGAGATTAACCTCCAAATTCAAAAATCGGAGAAGATCCTCTGTGGAATCACCTTGGCACATTTTATGTCCAATATGATTGTAACTAAGATGCTAAAATTGATAATGAAGAACAGATATTGCAAGCAACCAGGAAGAATATATGATCTACAAGGCAATAGCGATTTCTAAATGATAGTGGATTTCACATAAGAAATCCTAAAACTATTTGGATATAGTGGTGCACATCTATAATCATAGTACTCTGTGAGGCTAAGGCAGGAGGATAGTGAGTTTAAATTTAGCATAGGCAATTTACAAGCATCAACCAAGGCATTAAACTAACAATAAGTAGAGAAAGAGAAGACACTTAAACAAGATGCAATCCCAGACTTCCAGCTCACCAAAAGTAAATATGGGGGCAATGACATGGAATAATATGAAAGCAACCCACTAGACTCTCTGAAGTGGTAATGGTGGAAGTAAAAAAGCAGATGAAAAAATCAAATCAGAAATAATTTCTCAGAAAACTACAGAGATGCTGACCAAATAAAAGATATGCTTAGTGATTCTAGAGCAGATATAGATTTTTTTAAAAAGAGGAGCTTAGGAAAATGTTGGAAGCTATGAAGACCCAACATAGGGGGGAAAGTGGAATCCATGAAACAGATTCTAACAGACATCCAGGAGATTAAAAATTCTTTTGAAAGTATATTTAGCAGAAACACCAATGTGAGGACAAAATTTCAGATACAGAACATAGGACTGTAGTTAGCAGTTATGAAAAGTAAGATTTCTGAAAAATACCAAGGGACCATGAGAAATCAATCCATCAGCTGGTAGATCATGCAAAGAAGAGTAACACAAGATTGGTCAGAGTCCATTAAAAAGCAGGAGATAGCACAAATGACATAAAAAAACCTCTGCATAGAAGTCATGGCAGAAAATTTCCCTGGCAGAGAAAAAGAATTTGACATACTGATAATGAGGCATATACAATTCCAATTAGCCATGATCCAAAACAAAAATGCACATGACACATAATAGTCAAGATTCTAGAACTTTAGCATAATAACAGAATAGTAAAAGCTCTTAGAAAAAGAAACAAATCACATATAAATGAAAGACCATCAGAATCACAGTAGACATCTCAACACAAATTCTTAAGTTATAGAGAGTTTAGAGTGATATTTCAAGCCCTAAAAGAAAACAACTTCTAACCCCAATGTACTCACAAAACTATCTTTCAAAATTGAGGGAGGGATAAGCTAATTCCATGACAAAGAACACCTGAGAAAATTGAAGAACCAGTGCTCCAAAATGTTCTGAAGGATATTCTAGAATGAGATAACAAGGATTACATCTCAATGAACCCTAAAAGAGTGAATCCAGCAAGCAATTAAACAGAGGAGGAAAAAGGGAGCCAATAACAGGAAAAGAACATGACAAGCATAGGTAAAAATGTATTAGTATAATGATCAGTGTTAATGGTCTCCATTCACCAATCAAAAGACAGACTTGCAGAATGGATCAAGAAGCAAGATCCAACAATATGCTGCATACAAGAAACATGTTTACTTAAAAAAGAAATTCATATACTGAAAGTCAAAGGATGGAAAACAATACTCCATGCAATAGGAACCCAGAAAAAAAGCAGGGGTAGCTATTCTTTTTGCAGGCAAACTGGATTTAAAGCCAAGACTGATTAAGAGAGACAAAAAGTCACTGAAGTCTTCTAAAGGGAGCAATCCAGAGGAAGAGATAACAGTCATAACTATATAGGCACCAAACACCAGTGCACCTAATATAGAAAAGAAATCTTAACAGACATGAAAGAAATCAAACAAGCACCAATATAATTGTTACTGGGGACCTCAATGTTCCCCTCTCACAAATAGACAGATCAAGTAGATAAAAAAGTCAATAATGAAATATTAGAACTGAACCAAATCTTTGAACAAATAGATTTAGTAGACACCTACAGAGTGTTCCACGCCACATCAGAATACACATTCTTCTCAGCTGCACATGGATGTTTTCCAAAATAGACAACCTACTATTACACAGAACATGCTTAAGTGTGGAGGACTATCTGGGCAAAAACTCTCCTTGAAAGAGGAGCAATTGCCTCTATTTTAGCTAAGCCTGACCCTATTTCCATGTATTGATATGCATAGAGCTAGCTGGGACTTTTCCTTATCCCTTCAATTGGCTTTAAGCAATGTATATCAGTCTAGCCAAGGTGCTGATGGTAATCTTTGGAGATGGCAAGCGTGTTTCCCTGGACCCCCCACTCTGCTCTCAGGTGAACCAGGATGAGGTGGGATGTGTGAGCCAATGCTCCACACTGCTGGCTGGGATCATTGGGATAGAAGCTATGACTCCCTGGGTCTTCAAAGATTACACATCAGAGCTAAAACACCAAGCCCAAAACATTAGATACTATCTCAGTTGTGTTATGCAGATTACTCTTGCTACATATCTTTTTCTCTGCATTTGCAGGAGTGATTTCAGACCTCCTACCTAGCCCAGCTCATGGCACTCACCTACTTCCCACAGTTCTCACAGTCACCCATCCTCAAGCCACTCCTTTCTTCATGAATGAACAAAAACTGGGTTTGGTCTTGGGTCAAGGCCTCTGTTCCAGATAGCCATCATCATGACTGGATTTAGGATGCCTTGGCTCCCCATAACTACAAATATGCCTTAGTGTCTTTATTCCCACCATGGGTTGCACTGGAAGTGGTAGATTGGAATTAACTCCCTAGAATTCCAATAACTTTTTATGGGATTACAAATATAAACTTTCTGGGCTGTGAAAAGGACCAGAAAGGGCTCTCTATGCTTAAGTAAATGCAAAGGAATTGAAATTGCCCCATGCATATTATCAGACTGTAGCATGATGAAATTAGAAATCAATGGCCAAAGAAACCACAAGAACTTCATAAACAAATACAAATTAAATAACACCCTCCTGAACAACCAGTGTGTCACAAGTGAAATTAAAGAAGAAATTAGACAGCTTATATAATTAAACAATAATCCCACTGCAACACACTGGAACTTATGGGACACAATGAA